CAAGGCGCTGCGCGGGCTCCAGGTCCCCACTACCGCAGCCACCGCCGGCCAGCACCGCCTCAGCTGCCGCCACAGGATTTCAAAATTCAACGGCCGCCCCAGCCCGCCAATGAGGAAGCGGCATTCGGAAAGGTTTCGCCAATCGGCAAAGAACGCTGGAAGGAGGCGGGACCAGCCGCTACTCCCTCGCCAATGAGCCCCCGCGGAAGGGTGTTTTCGCGGAGGGTGATGGTACTGCGTGGGGCATGCCGGGAAATGTAGTTCGGGGGCGCCATCACGGCGGCCCGCCGGGGTGAATAACGGCCGAATTCCTTGTTACTGAACAGTTCGTTGCTATGCAGGAAAGAACTGCGTAAAGCGTTTGCGGTTTTACTGGTAGTCTAGATCAGACTGCTGAGAACTTATGTACGTAAAGCTTCTTTTTAGGACGGAGAGTTGCGTCTGTAAATCCCAAGGTAAGTAATCCAGTCCTAGGGGGGACATTTAGAAAACTAAACTGACAGGGCAGGAGGGATTTGGGCGCTGAAAGGAGCGAAGAAAGAAGGCCGGGGCGAAAAACGCTAAAGGCCCATATGGATTTTTATGCATCCCAGCGCACATCCTGGGCATAGGCCCAGCTGTGGCCCTGCTTCGTGCTGGGAGAAAGCCAGGTGGCACGCGCCCTGATTTCCACACAAAGGAAAACAGGGCAACAGCTCGGGAGGGGAACTCCAGCATCCCCCTCCCTAGATGCCTACTGTGAAGAAATCTGGGGTTTGAGGCTGTGGACCAGACTTTGTACACAGTGGTCAATCTAGGTAGAACCGGAGCGTCCCAAGACTCAGTCCTGCAGTGAGTTTGGCATCAAGAGGAGTCCTGCATAAACTATCGTTGATACCACGAGGACTCTGTAGGGAGAGTGAATCCTGCCTATAGAGATTAATGTGGATCAGGTTAGAAACTGGGAAACTTTTAGAAGATTAAGGTCCATGTTTAAATGGTGGTTCTTTCAGAGATCCATATCGATAAATCACATGAACTATGAACTTCCGCTGCCCTCAGCACTTTGGCACGGCTGTCCAATGTAGCTGTTAAGAGCATTTTGCCTGTTTTCCCCCTCCCAAGAGAAAACCATCTGTCTCCTGTAGCCCCAAATCTACCCACAGCATTGCCGTTTTTCTACATCATCTTGTGAATAAAACCACAGAAGGAAAATTTGCTGCCTCACAATGTTTTATTATGATTTTTATTGTTAAATGTCACGATCCATTCCAAAAATTAACACACTCAACATCAATTAAATTAGAGTTGAGTCATTAGGCAGTAACAATGAAATGGTTGTTGAAACCAATAAAGCTGGTAACAACAAAGTGTTTTGTAGTGAAATGCAACACACGCGATCCAAGTTCAATTTTATTGACGCAACAATCACTAAACCACCATGAATTCTGATCTCCATCAACAACACCCTCTGCCAGCCTCAGATTTCACGCTGCAGAGGCGGCATTTCCTAAGTTTCCTGTGACTAGTAGATTATAACGTTGCATGATGTTTCCTCTGCTCTCCTTCCTCAATTACGCAGTTTCCTCTTTTCTCTAAAATAGAAAAATATTAAGTTCATGGTTATTTATTACAGTGTGGAGGAGCAGTTGGTTGTTGTTTTCCAAGCGAAACAGTGATGCTTGCAGTTAATAGTTATTATTTGTATCTCAGTGGTAACCAGAGACTGCGGTCTGGCCTCTCCCTCTCCTGTGTTTGGAAGCTCACAGACATATCTTAAAAAGTTCTCTAATCACTTTAAGACCTCTTAAGATCTTAAGGCTCCTCCCAATCCTCCTCTAAAGAAAATATTACATAAAATACTCCAAGAAACCCAAAGAGAGTTGGAGCCCAACAGCCACATGCCTACTTCAGATGGACGTTACCCAACACCACGGGGCTTTTTAAACCTTAGAACCGCAATGCGCTGCTTTTGCCCGGCGCACCCGGCCGCGCATCTCCCC